TAAAACAACAACGGTAACCTGGTTGCCGAGTTCACGAAGTGACTTGGCTTGTTTTACAACGTCGTTGCCAAGCGACGAAAACCCAACCCCGATGGCAAACACCGAGGGGGGGCCTCGCGGGGGGGGGGCTTACAATTGTATGAGGAGGGCTATGCATGGCAACGACTACGCTCTCTCCAGTCTTTATCGAAGGACTCTCTACTCACCGTTGCCCCCCGTTGAAGCACCAGGCCTTGCTGCCGCAGGTGCAAGGCTTGCCGATGCTGGGGCTGAACCGGCGCTCCCCTTGAAAGGCCAACACACGGAGCAGACGAACAGAGGCATGAGTACATTATTCGGTTAGAGGGCTACCCCGGCTGTTGTAACGATCCTGTTAATATTGTCCTCGATCAGCCCACAAGAGTTTTCAAAACAAAGCAAAGGCGCAAAACAACAGCAGGATGGCGGCTAGGTATCACAACAGTGGTTTGTTCCGACATGGCGTGTCCGACCAACCTGCATGGAGAGCATGTACGAGAGCTCATAGACGCTTTTCTTCAGCTCGTCGATGTCTCGCTCCTGCGCCTCGATCGTTCCCTGAAGCGCATCCCTGCAAAACAAGCATGTGCAGCAGCACCGCCGTTTGGGGACGATGCCTTAGCAACCACAGCGTACGCGGACACGATAAGTGGGGTGTGCCTTGTGTTTCTTTGGTTGCCATCCACCGCCCTAATCGGCTGGCCCATGTGAAAATGCGTCAGTTTCATGTCATAGATACAACGCAGCAATAGACGCGAACATATTTCTTGTGTGTATGAGAGAGAAGCGGAGGAAAACTAATCGCGAACAAAGAAAATAGCGCGAGGTTTTACTTGTTTTTTGTGTCGCGGAGGGGTCCAACACCGCCGTTGTGTGTAGTTGATCGGTCGATTGCGTTTTCTCAAAACACGTCAAACCTGAAACACAAGCACACCACATGAATTTTGCCGACTTGGAGCATGTTTTGCACACTAAAATCGCAGTGTGTTGGTGCTGCTGGTACTTAGTCACGCCTCGTACCATGCTTGAATACCATTCGTGCAAGGTCATGCTCGGTGGGGTTAAATGAGTCCTGCCCACAAGGCTGACCCTGGCCAACGGCCAGCGATGAGACAACAAAGCGAAATTTTATAGGCGGGGCCGACGGCCGGCCGCCGGTAGAGGCACTACACCAGTACGACGAACTTTTCCCGACACCCATTCCATGTAAACCACAATTCGAGGGATCTACTGAGTGCCGTACGGAACCATCGTTGCACGGAACATACCGTACGGAAAATACCGTACCTTATCCGCCTCACCCACTGAAACGAGGGGTATCGCAATAATCTATGACTCGATCGGATACATCCGTGATGGGGATGCATGCGAGCGAGTGTTCAATTCGCAATACTGTACCACGTTAGGGAACGTTAACCTTTTGTCTTGCAGACTGGGTTTGATATGGCGATCGCTTCTTCTCTCCTTCGCTCACGTGCAACCCCCGAGACTGCAGAAAACGAAGAGAGGGGGTAAGTTAGAAGACGCCCGCTGTGCTTCTACATTGTAGACCATCTACACCCACCCTGCCTATGCTGCGACGGTAATTCCGAAAGATAGCTTTCGAGCGAGGCCATTCGAGTGGCGTAGGAGGCCTCATCAGACCCAACACACACACCACATGATCTACAAAGAGGCAGTAGGTGACGACGTACAGCAAATAGCTGCAAAAGCGTTGTCGTATGCATGCTGTCATCATGACCAAGGCCTTGAGGCCTTGCAGCAGTTGCTAAATCCCGCCGCATCCCGGTGTCTTGGAATCTGTCACAATCGTGGCCCCGGTTTAGTGGTCCATCGTGTCACCAAATTTCATAACCACTATTTAGGGCCTCGCCGCTAAACCTCTTTAGCGGTCATTAACCGCTAAACTGGGAAAAATCCCATTTTTGGCCTACAAGAGCAGCGTCGAAAGCTCATGTTGATAGGGCCATGTGTCTCATTGTAGCAGCCATACGAAGGTAGGTGCAGATGAAGAAGTAACGAGCCAAAGAAGGACAACGCCGCAAGTACATTCATCAATAGTGCATAATAATTCGCCAAAGCACGAAAGAAGCTATTTCTCCCTGCTGGACTGTATGCCCCTCATCAAGAATGGAACATCGTTCGCGTCTCTGACGAAGCAAACGTGATAAGAAAAACTTGTGACAACGCAATGGCAACCAATCAGCACGTGCTTGAGCATCTCATTTCTGCCATGCGGATCGTGATCGATCATTCTTAACCCAACAAAATCTCTCTGATATTTGCCTTGCGCGCTGGTTGAGCGGAGCGCGCTGCGAGGAACGCCATTTGTCGCCTTGCGAAAATAGTGTGCTGCTTTGCTTACGCCACACGACTCCGCGCTCCCCACGCTGGCCAAAATCCGATGATAGCTCCGAGTATGTATGGTGGCGGCGCCACCACCCCCGTGCCCTTCGCACCGTCAACTTGTGCCGTGGTATCTAGCCCTAGCTCTAGGTCGTCGTCGGAGGGGATAGGCCCCCGTCCATGTACATACCGGATTTTCAACAACCTCGTACTTCGCGCCCTTATGCAAAGCTTCGGCGATCCCTTCCTGTGCGCACTATTTCTGAGTGTGCTACCTTCTGGTCGAGAAGCTTCAAAACCTCGAGATTCTAGCCGAAGTAGGGCCGCGTGTGGGGCTGTTGTGTAGCTGCAGCGCGAGTTGCTTCTTTCCGCGTGCCTGGTGCTAGAAAGCCACCTCCACCTCTTGGCGCTTGGGCGGATTTGAGACGCGAGAGGAACTCTGCGCCTTCTTGGTTGCATGCCGGTTGCATCTTGTTGTCATCCGGATCCTCCACCTCCCTACACATGCCGTGTATGCGGCCGCCATAGCAACCTTTACAATCGTGCGCGCCGCTTGGACTCAGTGCCGCATCTAGAAGCTTGCACAGTTCTCCATCCACGCGCAGCATGGTGTGTGTCTTCATACTTTTGCATCGACCGCGCTAAGCGACCAACAAATGAAAAGACGTCGTCGTCAGTCTAAGTGCGGTTGAAAACAGAAAATACTTCTATATGCCACAAACTGGGACCCCGTGAGGGGGCGGCATGGGGCAGGCAAAAGCTATAATCCGGATGAAGGACAGCAACGGTAGCAACAGAGGAACCCTGCTACCTTGCACTCGAGTTCGTTTTGGCGTGCTTTCACCATCATCCTCCTTGCTTTCACCACCATCACTCTCATCGTCGGTTTTACGGCTATTTTTCGGCGATTCTTCTCTATAGTCCTGCGTCGTTTGGTGTGTGTGTCTCGCTGTGTCCTTTCTATTATGAGCATCGACCAGTTGACAGGCTGACAAGTGTCGCTGTGCTGTGCGTAGTCTATAGTGCAAGCGAAGCGCGCACTAGGTCTCCGCAAAAATTGAACTGATAACCGCTATTGGTGGCTGAAAACATGTCCAATAACCGCTACTGAGAGCACGACCGGTTTAACCGCTAAACCGGGGTGCAGCCGTGTTACAAGATTGTATAACCTCTATTCAGGGTATCCTGCTAAACAGGAAACCACTAAACCGGGCCTACTACTGTGTTATGAAGTCTGAACCTGTGTTCCTTGTTACTTGTTCAGTGTGACATGTTACGAGTGACTATACAGGTTTGGCGGCTCTGATAGAAAGAACGCTGACAGGGATGGACACAACCTCATGTTAACGGTGTGTAACGTTAACACTATGCATACGAGCTGCTTGGATTGCAAACACCAGACTACAGAAGCAGAGTACATTAGTGTTGCCAGCAGTCCTCCTACCGTTCCTTGCAGACGCTCTCATACTGGGCCCTGAAGAAACTCTCAGATGAGGAGGAGCTGTTCTTGCCCTTCATCGAGCGCACACGCGCGAGGCGCACGCTCGGCAGTGGTGATGGTGCGGCGCGTTCCCGTCCCCTGCACTCTCGCTCTCCGCCGATCGGTGGACCTATGTGTGCATACCAACAACTGCATCTACAAAGCGCCTCCAAAAAACGGAGATCGTTTCTGACGACGCCACTCCCGGTATTGGGCCGCCGACAAAAGCAAGCTTTTTTGCCCATGCGGGTGACACACGATGATCGATCAATAGATAGGTAGCTGCGCTGCTGTCCCGCTTTTGTTGCAGCCAGGAGCGGCTGTTCGCAGTAACGCCGAAGAAAGGTGTCGATTCAGTCTCTCTGTTGACTTTACCCCTTCACCAAAGGCTAAGGCTCCCCCACCGCAAGGACGGCTCCCCACCGCGGAGAGTCTGCAGATATATCTATAGCTCCCGAAACCGTGTGCCGCGCTCGCTGGGAGAGAAGGAAACAAGAAGCAAGTCCCGGCAAAGCAGCCTTGCTTGAACCGGACAACTCTCGCCCTTGTTATCCACGCAGGCTCCTGCTTGGGTTTTCCGGCACGGACGATTACGATTCTGGTTCCGCCGCCGACCCTATGGACCAAGACCATCAGCAGGACCATTTCGCCCCCGTGGCGGACTCCCAGTCGCCGCTGTCCCCGATTGGATCGCTGGGAGGATCCTTGGACGGCATGCTGGACAACATCGAGAACCTCGATGGTGACGGCATTTACCTGGACGTCGACGAGAACGGCAACGTCGTCTTAAACCCCACCGATTGGACCGGCGCCGGAGGCGGGGCCGCTGGCGGCGGCAGCGGCAGCGGCGGCAGCGGCACTGGCGGCGCGGCGGAGGCGGCAGCGGGAGGGGGGGCGGACAGCAGCGGCGGGGCGGGGGTGGCCGCAGGAGGAGCAGCGGCCAGCAGCGGCGCGAGTGAGAACCAAGAGGGCGCCAAAACGAATGACGTGTCTTGCTTGCTGCTGAACTCTGAAATCCGTTTATTTCTCGCAAGAACAAGTCTGTGTTACAACATGTTCTGTGCCTTTGAACGATTGGGTGTTTCGAGCTTCCTCGGCGTATTAGAGAGCCATGCCTAGGCGACTGCGCCACGGTAGCCCTCACAAAAGTGAATCACCATCTACTCTTGTCGCATTATAGAACTTTCGGCTGCTGCTGCTGCTGCTCGTGTTGCCGCTACTGCTTCTGCATTTGCGTTGTCTGTTGCACTTGTTAATTCGTGTTGTCCTCCCAATCTATTTTTTGGGCCTATATCGCACTTACGTGCAGCATTGGGATCTGCGTGCTCCCCCTATCTACCAGGATGTAGTCGAGGATTGAGGATTCATTGCAAACTGCCCGTTGCCTGATGAACTCCGGCTTATTGCATTCCCTACTACCGTTCAACACCATCAGTTCGTTGCTTCCCAAAAATTCAAGCATCCTCACTGCGTTGTCTTCTCCGTGCTGCCCGATCGCCTGTCCTCTACTGGAAGCTTTCCCTACTCTGGAGTTGAAATCGCCCACCATGACAACTTCTCCCTTCCTACTGAACCTCTGGACATCTTCCCCAATTTGTCCAAAGTTCTCCTGCGCCTTGCTTGCGACTTTCTTCGACGACGGTGGGACGTATACGTTCCCTAGAAACAAGTCTTTCTCACCCCGCTCCCCAGGTATCTT